TGGCCCAGCACCTGCAGCAGCTTCCCAGAGCTGTCTCCCAGCTCAGGGGCTGGAACCAGCAGCCTCGCATTTCCTGGGCATGGGAGGGAGGAGGCTGAGAGCCTCCCTTCAGCTGCCGCTCTGCAGTCCCAGCACAGGGCCTACAAGTTGTGTTGTGGCAGAGGGGATGTGAGGACAAATGTGCCCATGGGCGGTCAGGGGTGAGGGAGGGCAGGGGTGAGGGGGAATAGCAGTGTCAGAATGTAGGTGAGGAGGGACCTCCCGAGGTCATCTACATCAACCCCTGCTCAGAACAAATCATGTTGCTCAAGGTCCCATTTGGTCCAGCCTTGAACACCTCCCAGGATGGAGATTGCACCACCTCCTGCTTAACGACAGTTCCCCATGTTCCAGCTGCTCTCCATTGCCTCTACTCCTGTCATGGTGCCCTTCAAGAGTGCTGGCCCAACTTCTCTGTCTGCTCTCAACAAGTCGCTCCTGGAACTGATCAGAACACTTTCACTAACACAGCTCAGTGAATCTACTGCCTGTTTCCCCCGAGTCACTGTTTGCCATAGTCTTAGGGGCAGTGCCCTCCTTCCCACCTCTCCTGCTGCTCATGAGACCAATAAATAGTATTGGTTCCACTGCTGATCCCTGGGAGAGCCCACGAGTACGTGTCTGCCAGCTGGGCTTTGCACCACTGCTCACAATTCTTTCTGCCTGACAGTCCAGCCACTTCTCCTCTCCCCTGATCATTCTCTAACCCATTGATCCCCAATTGGGCTATGAAGGAGGCACGAGAGAGGATATCAAAGGTCTTGCTAAACTCTAGGTCCGCACATACCCTTCCCTTCCTCACAGTGCCCATCACCTACCTCATGGGAAAGCAATGAGCTTGGCCATCAGCTTCTGAACTCCAAAGCACGTCCATGGAGAGGGAACCCAGCCCTGATTGAGCTCTCCCAGAAGAGCTCCCTGGTACTGATCTCGATGGGGTCACTAAAGGGAAGGGGAAGAGCCCTCAGCTGCCTTATCCGCAAGCTGGATGTGAGTCCAGGCAGACAAACATTCAGGCAGGGACAGGGGCTCAGGAACTTCCTATACTGTGCATAGCCCTTGTCAGAATGAGGGTGTCTCCTGGACACCCCTGTGGGATAGCAGTGGGCTCTGGGGCAGTGTGGCCTTGGATCCAATGTCCCTTCCCTCCCAGGAGCATCTGCTGGCACTCGGACTGAGACTCCAATATGAGACAGGAACATTCTGGTCTTTTCTTCTCCTCACAAGGCATTGATATCAAACTCTGTTTTCATTTTATTCTGTGGCTGTTTGGGAGAAGGTCTCGGCCCCTGCCGGGCACAATACCAGGCCTTTGAAGAGCACAAGTCCCTTTAGCATTGGCTTGGGCATGAGGGAGGGCTGTGTCCCATCCCAGACACACTCAACAGTGCATTGGAAGCAGATTGACTGAGACATGGCCAGTACGAGGTGGGCAGGATTCGTCAGCCTTCCTCTTGCTTCCCAGAAAGCAGCCCCCATCCTTTGAACTCTCTGGCACTGGGGAGAGCAGCTGTGTCGTGGTCTGGAGAGGCAGGGAGTGGGGACTGCCAGCCATGCTGAGGCACTCACAGTGGTGTTACACTGGATTCAACAACTGGTGCAAAGTGGAGTGAAAGTGTTGCTTTTGGGGCCTGAAATGGGCAGTAGTGGAGCATGAGCTCTGCAGAGGTGGGAGAAGGAGGGCTCAGGAGACAGGGGATGCGTTTCAGGTCCCCTTCCCTGGACAGGTCTCCAACAGTGCCATTAGCACTCGGCTGCACTTGGGCTCCTTCTGACCCTGGAAACCTGCTGCTCTGTGGTGCTCTTGGAGAGAGAAGTGGACATTGCCCTGACTATGAGCAATGCATTTGCTCCTGATGAGGGGCACACAGGGACACATGCACAGAGGCTTATGCACGGATGTAGAATCATGCACACATTTGTTCTCCCATGTGCATTTAGAGAAATCCAGCTGCACACAAAATGACACAAGACACAAACACACAACAAGCAATTTCCAAAGTCTCGTTTGGAAACATGTGTGCACACACCTCTTTATAAGTGCACATATATGAGTTACTCTTTGGGTACGTATGAATTCATGTGTTTAGTTGTGCCCACGTGTGTGAGATTGAATGTGCACACACATCGGGGTGTGTGCATGTCTGTGAGAGTGCATACCTCTGTATGTGTATAGGGGGTGTGTGTGTGCACCCATGAGGGTATGTCAAAGGTCTTGCTAAAATCAAGCTACACCCCAGTCAGTGCCCCTCCCCTTCTCACAGTGCCAGTCACCTCCTTATAGAAAGTAATGAGGTTGGTGAGGCTTCATTTGCCCTCTGAAAACCCGTGTGAGCGGCTCCCAAGCCCCTTCCTGCCTTTCATGAGTTTAGAGAAGGCTTCTGAGAGTATTTGCTCCATCTTCCTTCTAGGGACTGAGGAGAGACTGTCCAGTCAGCTCCTTTTACACCCTTGGATGGATCCCAAGTGGTCCCACAAAGTTGTGCATGTCCAAATGGTAGTAAGGGCTCCTTAGTTCTTTCTTCTTCTACTGTGGGTGATGCTTCATTCTCATAGAGTCTCTGGGGAGGTTCAGGTATGTGGTAGGCCTGAGGAGAAGCTGCACCAGTGAAAACTGAGGAGAAAAAGGCATCGAGTACATGTTGCTTGTAACCAGATCCACTTCCTCACCAAGCAATGAGCCCATATCTACTTAGCCACCCTTTTGCTGCCAAGAAGCTCAGAGAAACCTTGCTTGATTCCCTTCACATCTCTTGTAGTTTCCCACTCCAGCTGCCCTTTTTCATCCACATGGCAGAGGACCACCCTTGTGCTCTGAGGAGGCTGTCCTTGAAGGTTAGCCAGCTCTCCTGGGACCTCCATGCTCTAGGGAAGTTTCCCATGGCATCTTGCCAAGCAGGTAGATCCCTGACCACTTCAAGATTTGCTCTTCTGAAGTCCATGGCAGTAGTAGTCCTGTTTGTCTTGGTCAGTCCTCTGAGGATCTTAGAGTCCACAGTCTCCTGGTCACTGCAGGGAAGGCTGAACGTTGAACTTCACATCATTGAACAGTTCTTCCTCATTTGTGAGTAGCGGGCCCCACAGAGTCTCTCCCCTAACCTGTTCAATGATTGCCTGCATCAAAAATTTGCCTTCCATACATCCCAGACATGTCCTGGTTTGCTTATGCCCAGCCATTTTCCTTCTGCAGCAGACACTGAGGTGGTAAAAGTCATGCAGGAACACCTGCCCCCATGCATCCTGCTGGTGTGGACACTGCCTGACCTGGGCTGGGCTCATCCTCACTCCTGCCTCCCTGCTCTTGCTTTCCTGGTCTAGCCTACCCACTTGCACCTGAAATTTAAACCCTCACAGGCTCCTGCTGTGGGCTCAGGTCACCGTCGGCCTGACATTTCCTTCCGGGGGACTTGGGCATGCAGGTCCTAAGGGGACAATGACAGTTATACATCAAGGGCACACAGTGTTACACCTGTCAATGACAATGCAGCTTTTCCCTGGACTGTGCTGTGATGCTGAGGGAGACCTTGCACTTGCCCAAGGGATGAGGTCTGGGGCCCTAGTTAGCACAGGCCTTGGGAGGTCAATGTGACTACGAGAGGGTTGGAGAGGGGCTGTGTGTCAAGCAGAGGGCTGTGCTGAGTGTCCCCCACATCCAGTAGAGTGGAGGACAAAGCCTGCCCCTCTGTGGGGAACTTCTGCAGCAGGTGCTGTTCATGTTTCCCTTGAGGAGCCACCTCTGTCCCCAGGGATTAAAGGAGAGAAAAGTCCTCTAGGGGAAGAGAGCAGTGCTCCAGGAACAGCTCGATCATTTGTGACTTTGCAGATACGGGACACTTGCTACAAAAAGTGCCAGTTCATCACACCACATGAGCAGGAGGAACTGACCGGTGCACACTAGAATGTTTAAGGTCCCCAGTGAGAACAGAGGAATGAGGGTCCATGGATGACCCATGCTGGGAGCTGCCTAGGAGAACAAAAGGTACAGCATCTCCTTACGTCAACTGCCATGGCTGAAGTTCAAGCAGGAAATAACACAATGGAACCAGTTTTAAGGTGTGTCTCAATCTCAATAAAAGACAAAACAGCTGTTGCTGGAAAGGATGGATGTGCCTGCAGTTATTAACAGTGCTCAAGACGAACAAACTGCTAAAATGTATGCCTGCATAAACTGATGTCTGGAATGGACAGAAAGCATTACAGGGGAAGCAATGCTGCGAGGGCAGAGTTGAGGGCTCCTTCCCACACCCTCAGCCTTGCACAGACACACCCCCTCCCTTTCCTGGGTTGTTGCACAGCCAAGGAAGCTCCCTGCACCAGCGTGTCTTGCACAGCACAGAGGTACACGGCACTGTCAGAGACCTCGACTTCCTCCAGCTGCAGGTGGCTGTATTTCTCTGCGGTGTTCAGCAAGGTGGTGAAACGGCCGCTCTGCTTGTGAGCAGCTGCTACATGGTAAGAGACCATGTGGGGACCTTGACCTTTCCTCTGCTGGTACCAGAGCAAGACATCAAAGCTGGAGCTCTGGTAGGAGCAGGTGGTTTGGAAGGTGTCTCTCTGCTTCACTGTGACTTGTCCTTCTTGCTGGGTGACAGTGGTCTGTCCCTTGGTGCCTGGAAGAAAACGAAGGTGAGCTGCTCTGCAGAGAAAGGCTCTGGGAAGCAAACCAGGAGTGGATTCAAATTCCAGGCAGAGAAGACTCCCTGTCCCTTGCCCTGCAGGAATATCCTGAGGCCTGAAGACAGCCAGGTGGAGAGGAGTTTTGGGCAGCAGCTCAGAGCTCTCATCACAGCGTGGAGCCTGAGAAGAGCTGTGCTGCATCCCTGCTCCTGTTCCCACTGCTCAGAGGACCAGGGAACAGCCTGTCATACCTTACCTTCACGTGCTGGGACCAGCACCCCTCCAGCAGGTTGAAGGGCCCGGGGATCTACAGCAAAAAGATTCATGCTGCTTCCCCATCCCACGCATCTCCGAGGGCTCCTTGCTCCATAAGCATATACAATGCTGAGCTTGAAAAGAGGGATCCCTGGCTGTGTCAACAACTGGGAGAAAACTGAAAGCCACGGCAGACATGTGCCTGCCAGGAGGCAGAATGGGACACCCTATTAATGTCAACAGGATGAGAGCTTTAAGGTCTCTGTAACAGCTTTGACATGATCTGCTGATTTGCATTGGAAAGGGAGAAATGTGTGTGAAAGAGAGAGGGCTGATATCTCCTATGGTGACAGGGGGTGGATCAGGAGGGAGAGGGAGATGGATTAAAGGTGAGAGAAAGGCAAGAGAAAGGGTCTGAGGTATCTCTTCTCTCTACTTTAAATGGTAAAAGTGTCTTGAGAGAATGCATGCAAAACCACAAAGATGAGTTGTTATTTCCCAGAATTTTCCTGTACTTCAAGAGTAGTTCTCTGTACAATCTTGATAAGGCTGGCAAGGGTTTCCTTGGGAGAAGAAGCATGTGCTGATGAAAAGCCAGGACTTACCCAGCAGTTGCCCCAGGAAGGCTGTGAGGATGAAATAACTGAGGTGCATGTCGAGACCAACCTGCTGCTTTGTTGAGCGAGAGAGAGTGAGAAAACCACCTCCCAGCCCCGAGATAACAGAGCTGCCGGAAATGACTGTGTTGGGGGAGCAAAGGAAGAAATAGGGAAGAGCAGTGATGTGTTCTTCCTGTGTCTGAAATGCTGCTTCTGGGTTTCTCCTGCAGCAGCAACATGTTGCACACTCCCCAAATCCCCCCACTTAGGAGATGAATCCCACTGGGCAGCAGCCCAGGGGTTCTGGCTGTGTCCTGTTCTGGTGGGATAACCCACCCTGTGAGAGAGGAACCTGGCTCCAGAACTGCTCCTATTTGCCACAAACCCAGAGATGACAAGGGCAAATTACTCCTACTCTCAGGAAAAGTGTGAGGGGTCAGCAGGCACCAGGATGAGGGATCAGGGGGTCACCCCTACTCCAAGGGAGCACATGGGACACCCATTGGGGTGCTGCACTGCCAGGGGTGGGGATAGGGTAGCCCGGAAACCCAGGGCTGAAAGGGCATGTGAAGAGGTGGGGGCACTGCAAGTGGGTAATCCCACCCCCTTTCCACATTAACTCCAGAGTGATCCCATGCGCCAGGCGTGGCAGAAAGAACAAACTGTTCATTATTGTTAAGTTATCCTGACCTGATTAGGCAGAGACCTGCGCTGTGCTGAGCTGAATCTATCACTTGGCAAACGCGGCAACATTGCCATGAACGCATCCTTGTCTCGATACAGGATGGAAACACCTTCCTTTCATTTAAATGCCCTTTTGCTCAACAGTAGAAATTAGGATTGTTATGTTCCTAAGGAAATGCCATGGAAACTCCAAAGATGACAATACCAGTGAATCTCAGCATGGGTAGGATTTGCACCCAACTCAAACTCCACCCCATGCTCGGGGTTCCCAGTATCCGAAGGAGCATAACGTCACCAGTGCTGTCCCTATTTACCTTCTTGTCTTATTTCCAATTAGTGGTAATTTAATCAACACTCTGTGGAGGCAGAGTCCCATTCTTACTGGGATCTATCTAAACACGTTGTCCACATGCATCATTAAAAAAACCCTGAAAATAAAAAGATCCAAATTTCTAGTAGGAATTTCCCCTGTTCCAGACCATGTGCGTTGCCTTTCGCTCTGTCACTGTGCTCAAGAAGAGTTTGGCTTCATCTGTCCTTCATGCTCCAGTCAAGTGTCAGAAAAAGCTCTCCCTTGAGCTTCTCTTTTGAAGGCTGAAGAAGGCTGCTTCTCTCAGATCCTCCTCATGTCTCATGTTACAGAATCACAGAACTGGTAAGTTGGGAAGGGACCTCTGGAGGTCAGTGGATCCAAACCCCACCTCAGGAAGAGTGACCTAGAGCTGATTGCAAAGGACTGTGTCCAGACAGATTGTGAGTTCTTCCAAGGATGGAGATTCCGCAGCCTCTCTGGGCATCCTGTGCCCGTGCTGCCTCACCCTCACACCTGTTTCCTGGTGTTCAGACAGAGCCTCCTTTGTTTCAGTTTGTGCCAAATGCCTCTTGTCCTGTCCCTGGAAACCATGGAGAAGAGCCTGGCTCCAGTTTCGTCCCAGCCTCCCTTCAGATATTTATACACACTGATGAGTTCTCCCCTGAGATTCTTTTCTTGGTGCTGAACAGGCCCAGCTCTCTCTACCTAGATGCTGTGGTCTCCTCATCTTGGAAGTGGCCCTTTGTTTTACTGTCTCCAGTACATCTGTGACATTCACTTCCCTAGTGAAAACAAACATCCACTCCCATTCTTGAGTCACAAGCACACCCAGATTCTTGCATCCCTCAAATATCAACATAGGCCCCCTGCAGCCTGGGCACCCTTACCCAGCACCTGGGTCTCCTCCTTCTCTGGCCAGGCCAGCCTGATATTCACTACCAAACACATGCATACAATCACCCACTCCTCTCACAGCCATCATCAGAATTGCAGATTCCTAAATATTACCACAGCTTGCAAGTATCAGCCTGTCTAATAGCCATGTGCTGGTCTTGGCCTCTCTTACCCACCTCAAACTAAGACTTTAGGTACACCTTTGCTTTCCGCTCCCTGCCTGGGCCAGCTTGAAATATGCTGGCAAATTCCACCTACGCACCCATGCACGTCGAGTTCAATTCACAAAGAAAAAATAAGAAACACACTGAGGTCCCTGCAGTCGCTGGTCCTTTCAGCTCTCACAGAAACATTTGCAATGTGGTCCTCCCACTTCCTGACAAGCAAGAGACGTGAGCCCTGTGACACTTGCTGGCACCCAGACCTTGCTCACACCCCAGTCCCTCCAGCTGCTGGCGCAGAGACCAACATGTCCTGTCACCACAGGCCTCTTCTCCCCTTGCTGGCACTGAGACCTTGCCACACACACCCTGCTCCATCCCATTGCTGGCACCCAGGCCTACAATCCCCATGGCCATTGGTTGTTTGCCCAGTTACTGGCACCAGATCTCTCTTTCACATCACTCGCTCCATTTCCTGACACTCAGACCTTGCAGCACTCGCACGTGGGAAAGGGAGTGAAGATACACAGAAGGATGGTTAAGAAAGGATTTCGGAAGAAGGCAGGGGTAATGTGGAGATTCCACGCAGGGTTGATCCCAGCAAGTGCACTGACTGGGCCCTGCTTATGGTCAGAGGGCTCCTTTTTTTCCTTCCCCCTCTCTATTGCCTCCACTTGTTCTCTCCACTTCCCACTTTCCAGGCCCTACGCCCACCTCTGACCCTTCCCCTAAGCATTCCTTAATAACTGTTGCAATATCCCGCAGGACCCCACTGAAAGCTCCATAATCTTCATGTTCCTCTTGTCACTTCTTGTCCCTTCCAAAGCTCAGCCTCACCCACCTCAAAGCCACACCTGCAGTTTCCTAATGGCCCATCAATGAGAGCCTGAAGAGCTCTGAGCTCCCTCCTTGTCTCCCTTGTCACTTACTGAGAGATTGGTGGCATTGTGTGCTTTGTTTATCACTTGCCCTTTAAATTCTTCTTCCCTTTGAAAGGAAAAGGGGCT